AGCCATGTTTACGCAAATGAAGTGGAGGGGATTTAAATCCCCGCTTCATTTGCAATTGCGATGTGTCTAATTTGCATCCCTTTTACGGAAAAGGGATGCAGTCTAGACACAGCCCTCTAGGGCTGGAGACTCCACTACTTCCCTAGGTAACCCATTCCAGTGCTTCACCACCCTCCTAGTGAAATTGTTTTTCCTAATATCTAACCTGGACCTCTCCCACCACAACTTGAGACCATTGCTCCTTGTTCTGCCATCTGTTACCACTAAGAACAGCCTCTCTCCATCCTCTTTGGAACCTCCCTTTAGGAAGTTGAAGGCTGCTACCAAATCCCCCCCACACTCTTCTCTTCTGTAGACTAAATAGACCCAACTCCCTCAGCCGCTCCTCATAGGTCATGTGCTCCAGCCCGCTAATCATTTTGGTTGCCCTCCACTGGATCCTCTCCAATGTGTCCACATCCTTTTTGTAGTATGGGGCCCAGAACTGGACACAATACTCCAGATGTGGCCTCATCAGAGCTGAATAAAGGGGAATAATGACATCTCTGGATCTGCTGGCAATGCTCCTCTTAATGCAACCTAATATGCCATTAGATTTCTTGTGGCCCAATCCTCCAATTTGTCTAGGTCACTCTGGACCCTATCCCTGCCATCCAGTGTATCTACCTCTCTCCCTAGCTTAGTGTCATCTGCAAACTTGCAGAGGGTGCAATCCATCCCCTCAGCCAGGTCATTAATAAAGATATTGAACAAAACCGGTCCTAGAACAGATCCTTGGGGCACTCCGCTAGAAACCGACCGTCATCCTGACATTGAGCCATTGATCACTACTCGCTGGGCCCAGGCTTCTAGCCAACTTTCTATCCATCTTATCGTCCATTTATCCAATCCACATTCCTTAACTTGCTGGCAAGAATATTGTGGGAAACCGTATCAAAAGCCTTGCTAAAGTCAAGGTATATAACATCCACTGACTTCCCCATGTCCACAGAGCCACTTACCTCATCATAGAAGCTAATCAGATTGGTCAGGCACGACTTGCCCTTTGTGAATTCATGCTGACTATTCCTAATCACTTTCCTCTTCCAAGTGCCTCAAAATGGATTCCTTAAGGATCCCTTCCATGATTTTTCCAGGAACCAAGGTAAGACTGACCGACCTATAGATCCCTGGATCGTCCTCCTTCCCTTTTTTGAAGATGGGCACTACATTTGCCTTTTTCCAATCATCCGGGATCTCTCCCGAACTCCACGACTTTTCAAAGATAATGGCCAGAAGTTCCTCAATGACATTTGCCAACTCCCTCAGCTCTCCTGGATGCATTAAGTCCGGACCCATGGATTTGTGTACGTTTAGCTTTTCGAAATAGTTTCTAACATGTTCTTTACCCACCCAGGGCTGCCCATCTTCATCCCATCTTGCGTCACTTAGCACGTTAGCCTGGGAGCCGACCTTGTCCGTGAAGACAGAGGCAAAGAAAGCATTGAGTGCTTCAGCTTTCCCCACATCATCTGACACTTAGCAGCCTAGATCAGGGTGGGGAACCTCCGGCCCATGGCCGCAAGCAGTTTGTGGGGTTAGCTGCAGGCAAGCCCAGACAGGGTTTTGTTTACGTGAGTGCAGTCACAGAGCCCTCGCAGGTCCCAGTGGCCAAGGTGTGCCCTTCCCTGCCAGTGCTTCCTGCAGCCCCTGTTGGCCGGGAATGGTGAACCGTGGACACGGAGCTGCGAGCGGCCATGCCTGCAGACCTACAGGTAAGCAAACTGCTCGAGCCCGCCAGCAGCTAACCCTGGAAACCCACGTGCCGCCAGCTTGCTGATGGTTCCCCCTCCCAGGCCTAAAACAAGGACTTCCTGAGATGTGACGGGAGGGGCTCCTTTAGGTCAGGGCAGAGAGCACAGTGGGGTTGCCAGAAGGGCCCACTGGGGTGGGCACCAGCAGCAGCCCCCAGCCGGTGGCGCTGGCCCTGGCTGGAGTGGGGGCCCAGCGTGGCTGTGGCACTGGGGCAGCGTGTCCCTGCAGGCTGGGGATGTTGCTGAACCAAAGACACGATGGATGCAGCAAGCGCCCTAGTGCAGCGCTGCCCTGCGGGACTCGAGCGCGCGGGACTCGGATCCGCCCGGGGGCGCCAGGAGCGG